AAAAAAAAAAAAAAACAGAAATGAAAAGAAATACGGGGACGTTTTAGAGATTGCAGACTTGCGTGGGAACGCCAAGTTCGGAGTGTTTAAGTTATTTTGTATTCGTCGTAATCAGGCAGATTCCCATCTTTATATATTTAAATTAACGTATAGCGATAATTTCCAGTACTTTGGAAATATAAAAAATATATTTTTGATTGTCAGTGGCTCTTGAAGTTTACCGATACCGCTCGAACTGAAAGTTGTGCCCAGCGCTATTGATGGCAATATGAGCGTTGCTTGCTAGACGTGTCGCTTGCGAGAGCGCTCGCTCACCGAAGAGCCCCCTAAATCCACGCGTTCGCTCCTCTGCTTTTCGTATCTCCTCAATGGGGAGCTTTAGTGGGCTGTTGTGAAAACTAGGATAACGGTACCCGATAACGATACGACGCATGCGCAAGGGCGCCGGCAGCGTGTCAGGAACCGTTTCGGAGTTGTGGGAACGATTTACTAACGCACAGAGAAACACAACTTGACACATATATTTCCCCCACACACACATGACTATAGGCGTCGCGAACCTGCCAAGGTCGAATTTTACCAAGTTCGACTTCTTCGAACTTTTAACGTGATGTTTGACAAAGGTTCGACTGAAGCTCGAATTTCCCGCGTATTCGCGAAAATTGAAAAAAAAAAAAAAAAGAACAGTTGACTTGACTTGGCAGAGGTAAAGTGCAATATTTGTTGGGTGTACTGGCATCACTGACTCACATTACTAACAAAATCAGTAAAAGCGCGCATTTTTGTTTTTATATGGTTGTAAACATTGGTAACTATTTTATAAAATATAAAGTAAACTATTTTCTATATTATTTGTTTCCCGAAAAATATTTGTGTAAAAGCCGGGCAACACTGTCCATCAGTCGAACTTCTTCGAACACAGTGAAAGCTCGAAGGTTCGGCGAATCAGTCGAACCTCGAGGTTCGACGTCGAAATTTAGGTTCGACAAAAGTTCGCGACACCCGTACACATGACCAGAGGGCGCGATGGAGGGTAGAGTGACTGGGCCCCGGACGCTAGCGGTACACCGATTCGACCCTCGACGAACAAGCGCGTGGCCGGCCCGCCACTGCGGTGCGGCCTGTGGCAGTGTGCCCGATCGAAGGGACTGTCCTGCTTCGTTTCTGTTGTGTATGCGACTAGCGACTGAAAGCGTAGCTCTCGGTCGCTGAACTCTTCCATGGGATGTGGCCTTTCGATTCCTGAAATATTTTATTGAGAGCGTATGCACGACAACTTGCATCCGGATATTTTGGTGGGGAGGCTCACTCGAGTTAGCGAAACCTCGTTCGAGGTGTTTTATGGAACGACGGTCTTCATTTGATCGAATGCGGTTGCCCGGTCGGAGAGGGGGCATTAGTTCATTTAAATGAAGTCAGTTTAAACGGTCCCATATCTTAAAATGTAACTAATTTTTCGTGGTATTATCTCCTGGGAATGAACGTTATTGTAAATTATATTTAATGATAACATTAAAACATTAAGCGTTTAAAATATTTATTTTAGGCATAGGACACGCGTAGTCTGCTGGCGAATAGAATGGCTTAATTTATTGTGATTCCGGTGGAAAGACGAGCATTTAGGGACGTCATAATAATGGCGCTAAAAGAAACATCTCGATTCAGTTGGTCATTTAGGGAAGACATTGAGCGGCTGAACTGGCAGAGCACCAGATCCTGCTCCCTGGAATACAGCCCAGATTTCCAATATTAAACGCTTGCAAGGCGCCATCGGCAAGATGATATACGAAAAAACTGAAATGACAAAGACTAGTTGGCTTATTAAAAAATACATCGAACCGGAAAGAAAACGAAGAAAAAACCGGTTTTACGGGCGGTTGAACGGTAACCGAAATGGTACGAAGCCCTAAAATACCAAAACAAAACCGATTTGAGAAGAAAAAAAAACGGTAACCGTAACTGTAACCGAACCGTTATATTTATCGGTCTCAGTCCCTGTTCGAAATTGCAACAGTCGCTCCACTGATTCTCGCCGAAAAGCGTTAGCACTTAGATAGCAGCAGTTTCGACTCAGTGAAGGATGGGAATTCCAACCTCCCAACGGTCCGCACACAGGAGCCAGTCCGTTCTCCCGGACGTCGGCAGTTTCGGATGCAGCCAGTCCGTTCTCTCGGACGTCGGCAGTTTCGGATGCAGCCAGTCCGTTCTCCCGGACGTCGGCAGTTTCGGATGCAGCCAGTCCGTTCTCCCGGACGTCGGCAGTTTCGGATGCAGCCAGTCCGTTCTCCCGGACGTCGGCAGTTTCGGATGCAGCCAGTCCGTTCTCCCGGACGTCGGCAGTTTCGGATGCAGCCAGTCCGTTCTCTCGGACGTCGGCAGTTTCGGATGCAGCCAGTCCGTTCTCCCGGACGTCGGCAGTTTCGGATGCAGCGAGTCCGTTCTCCCGGACGTCGGCAGTTTCGGATGCAACCTCCTCCGTCTCTCGCTCCCGCGGCGCGTCATTGGAAGTTGCCAGAAAACTCTTTCCCTCTTGTAAGAGGGAAAGCGGACGTTACGAGCGAACGAACGGAACGAAAGAGAAAGGTGCGCACCGCACCGCGGCCTGACAAAAACCAGTTCACTCCAATCCAGTCCAGTCCAAACCAAGCCACGGCCGTCCAAACTAAAGACGGCTGCACGCACCGGGGCAATAAATTCTTACGCATTTAAAAAGAGAAGAGGCTGGAGAATGACCTTCGTGGAGCAAATTCCGTCCACCGATCTCCCGCTCTGCGAATGTCGCTTCTCCGCTGTGCAAGTGTGAATTGTGAGAAGCGCACTTAACGGCGGTAACTAACTTGCACAACCAGACTTGAGCAGTAGCAAAATTGGCAGCGCAAAGTCCTATAATGTATACAATACCATATAGGGAAGTGTTGCGTCACGTGGCGTATACCTTCCCGCTAAATGAAGCGAGGAAACTGAACGGTTGTATAGATCACAGACGATAGATGGATGGATGGACGTTAATGGCATACCTTTTGTAACGGGCGGTAGCTTGCGCCACCTAGCCCAAGTCGGGTCAATCGATGTCGACTTCCCCCGATAAATTAGGCGGGGAAACTGAACTGCTGTTTAGATCGCGGGACGTGAATTTTCCCGCTAAATTTAGAGGCTAACTGAACTGGTGCATAGGACACGTGATGTGAGTTTCCCGCTAAATTAATCGGGAAAACTGAATTGACGTTTCGGCCCGAAGACACGAATTTTTCCGCTGAATTTATCAGAGAAACTGAATGGTTGTATAGGTCACGTTCCGTCAATGTTTCCGAAGTGTATAGATCACGTGACGTCAGGTGACGTCACGTCACGTCAATCTCCCCGGTTAATTTAGCGAAAAATGTACGAACAGACGGACGGACAAATTTTCGAATTGGGGGTAGCGTTAAAAGGCATATTTCATGATTTAATATCTGGAAATGTCTGGGTGCCAGTATTCGAAACGAGATTCAAATCGAATAGTTATTCTAATCGATAATATCTCCACTACGGAGCTCGAGTTGCAGACTGTCCTCCTGGAAATAAGGACACTGACGGAACCCACGTCCTACAAGGTGACCAACGTTACCATCTTTAGGGACAGCCCTGGAGGCTCTCAAAGCACTACGAGGCCCCGCACGACTGAACTCCGCTCCCTACCTCATTAAGAAACTCAGCAAAGGAGTCCGTAAAGACCACAACATCGAGATCCAAGTACGGTGGATGCCAGGTCACACCGGGAACTCAAGCAACGAAGAGGCACATAGACTTGCGAAGTAAACTCTTCTCAACCATCCCCCGGAGTCATCAACGTCCAACCTCAAATACAAACCATCCTCAAAAGAGCAACGAGCTGTAATAAGACAAAGAACAAAGAGAAGCTTCGACACGCCATACCTAGGCTGCAACACCCCATCCAAACAGATTCCAAGAGGGCCATAAGTCCTCCTTACCAAAGTTCGCCCCGGTTATGTCTGAACTGAGGACATCGTCGCAAGATGGGAACATTACAAAAAGCATAAATACACACAGATACCTTCCAACCAACTCATTTTCAAGCAGTGCCGGTGAGAATTCCCAATGGTAACACATCTACTTTGGCCCTGTCCGGTTCTAGAAGCCATTCGCAACAACCAGAGACCACCGAGAGTTCAAGCTCTCTAAGACTGAATATGTCCCACAAACAATACAAAAAAAAAAAAAATGCTCGCGGTGTGGGTTTTTTGCTATGGAGGCCCAACTCGTAAGTAAAACTTGAGGATAAAAAGCGCCCACTCCCCGCCTTTTCCTCAACCAGGCCAGAGCGCCATCCTGATCCAATAAATTCATTCATTCATTCGTTCATTCATTCTAATCTATATTTCAAAGTGTCCAATTCTCGCACACGCCTCTCACCACGGGAACCCGAAAATGCAGAGGAGATCAATCTAATTTTTTTTAAATTTATTTATCTGTATACTTATTTTAGAAAAAGCAACTTCACGTTTAAAGTCGGGGTAAATTTTTCAAATCTTGTCAAAAGGTAGCAGGCTTTAGTATGGCAGAGTTTGGAGTCCCGTGAAAATCATCAACCCCTCTCCCTCTTTTGTGACGTGCTTGAAAAGAGGCCAACCAGGGGTCCCAAATTCGCCCCGCGCTCCATGCATCGTCCCCCTCTGTATGGAGGAAGTGGTGTACACAAGTGGCGAGGAGGGAAAGCTATTTAACGTGTCGCGGGCAAATAAACCCTGCGTTTGAGACCCTGTGTATGGTATCCCCATTTTTTCCCCCTTGTTTTCCTCAGTCTCGAGGTTTTTCAAAGATGAATGGTAACCAGCTCGCCTGTCGTTTGAGCATTTTATCCGTACCCCCGTCGTAGCGCCGCTGCGTGCCGTTCTTGTGGACACGGCGAATGCACCGACGCGAACCTGGTTCCTGCGCAGTGAGTGCCTGGAGTGGACCGTTTGTCAACAGCGTGCACGAGGAAAGATCATGGCGCTCACCCTTCTTGGCGTCGTGTGCCGTGGGGCTGGCGGCGGCGGCCAGTGCCGAGGGCGTCAGGGCCCCGGCCAGGGGGCTCGGCGGTGCCAGGGCCCCGGGCATGCCGGCGGCCGACAGCGGGGGCGGTGCCCCCGCGGGGTACCAGGGCCACGGCTGCCCGTTGAGCATGCGCAGCTTGTCGTACACGGACTCCGGGCAGCCGCCGCCGTGCACGGCCGCCGCCGCTGCCGCAGCCGCGGCCGCCGCCGCCGCCGCGTGGTGGTGCTGCTGCTGCTGCTGCTGGTGTTGCTGGTGCTGATGGTGCTGCTGCTGCTCCTTCTGCGCCGCCAGGTTGCGCAGCACTCGGTTGATCGAGGACACCTGCGACGACGGCCGGGGAATCAGGCAGTTACTTTATCGGCCTATTATTAAATAACCGCTCGATCGGGGGTCACGTGGTTTTATGGGCAGCGTTGCAACGCAAGCTGCGAGGAAGAATCGAAAACGTCGATCGTCTGCAAGCGCTTCCGCCTCTCTCCGTCCGCTTTGTTCCTCACCAAGAGACAACGCAACGCCAATCTGCGAAGATGGCGTCCGCCATTGAATTGCAAAGGCTCTCAATGGTTTGAGTTGCACCCTCTACTAAATCTAAGCTCTCAACAGTTACTCTTAGGGTTCCCTTTTAAAAAAAAGGTCACTGCGCCATTTTGTTTCGCAGGTGCGAATTCGCCGAGCCTTTTAAGCACCAGCAAGGCAGGCTTTGCGGCATTGAACAGAACCGAATGAAGTGTATAGTCTACACACCAGCAGCAAAGGAAGCGAACCAACCGGAGTATTAAGATAAAGGCATCCTTTAATCCTTCGCAATACAATAACTATACACGCAGAGGCTCTGCCCCACACTACCCGCGGGAAGATGTGGCGCCCATTCAATACGGACGCAGCCTTCTTCTCACGTTCCGGGAAGGGAGGATCATCCGCGCCTTTCCTATCAACATCGGAGCCCCCGGAAGGGCTGCTCCGCCTGATGCGCATCGGGCACTCAACGGAGGCTTATTTTTGGTGAGTGCATCTCGCAGTTCTCGTTGCGACGAACTGTAGTGGATTCATGATCTCGGCACGACAGTAGAAGAAAGCACCGGACTTCGCAACCCCATCATCACTGCGTAACCACTAAGATATCGCGGCTAATCTACCAAACACGACGGCTATCAAAATTTACGTATATTTGAAAAGAATAAAAAATAACACACACACAGACACACCAGAATTCACGTTAGTAATCGGACAGCGTCAAAAAGCGTACCATCATGGCGTGATCGTCATCTTCCTGAACGTATTCTATCATCACTAAACCAATCATAAACATAAAAAAGCCCGCCAACTCGACTCTTTAACGTCACTCTGCCGCTGTGGTGCTGATTTCGGCGCTGCACATGCGCAAACGCGTCATACAAATCTGGCTTCTGCGCACCCTAAGTTTGTGGCCAAACGCCGGCCTGTTCGTTGAAAGCGCTTTGGCGCATATAGTCCGCTAAAAAAAAAAAAAAAAAAAAGTCTAAACGTGTCAGACGGGGGACATTCTCTGTCACAAGGTGCAGGAGGAAAGTCAGACACGGCAGCCCGGGAGCCCAGGACGCTCCGACCCACACGTCACCCCGGCAGCTAGCGGAGGTCTTCTTGCGACCATCGAATCGATCCCCCGAGCCACCCGACGGCCAACGGGGACGAAGGCAAGCCCTCTTCCCCGGGCGAACATTCCTGGACTGCGCCGCGAAAGCGGCAACGTTCGGCGGAAATCCCCGTCGGCTTCCGACGGGATTTGTGAGTCCCAATCCGTCGCTTCCCCGGCCTCTCCCTCGTGCCTGATCCTCCCTCCGCCGTGTCAGTGCCCTGCGGGGGCCACCGCTCTTCGATCGGCCAGCTCGCACTCGAAAAAAGCGGCGAGGAAGCGAACGCGGCGCGGGAACCGTGCTCCGCGATCTGACGCGTTTCTCCCGAGCAGTTTCAAGATGGCCGCGCCCTTTCGTCCGGAAAAAGAGGCCGCGCGAGGCACCCCGGCGCCTCATTGTCCTCTTCCATGGACACGATTGAGGGAGAACGGGAATTTGTGACACGTACACAGGCGTGGCTGCGGGGAAAACTATATGGGTAGAAGGTTTCCCGCGGGGAGACAGACTGGGAGGCGAAGCCCTCGAGAATGCGCGCTGGCGGGTGACCCACCACGCAAACGAGACCGGAAAGGTCGGTGTAACGAGGACTCTCTACGCTGGTGCCAGAGCAAGAACAGCGCTCTCAGTCTCGTAAATAGAAACTGTCGCGCGTCTCTCGCATTGTGCTGGATTTAAAAGTCCCGCAAACCCCCGAACCGCACTATACCCCTACATAGAAACGAGACCGCTTGGAACGAAGAAATGACAAGGAATGATTCGTTCGAGTGTGACTTTAAGGTCTGGAAACTTATACCCTATCATGCAGCGATAATGTTTTTTTTTTATTGTTATTATTATTACTTGTCTTAGCTCGCACACGTCCGTCAGAGATTTGTAGCCCATCGTCGAAGCAGGCACAAAATCTAAATATTCTTGGGATGTAAAGGTGTTCGTCGAAAGCCCCTGGCTCCCCGGTGCCTCCTGACTGCACCGACATCATACCATAAAGCTGCAGGTACCTTTGCGCGTGCCTCCTACAAAAGGCACAATGTTAGCTCCATGCAGCCGCGATGAGACAATAATCCTGGCCCGAAACATGTTCAAAGCGCTCCACGCTCCAAAGATGGACAGTTGTTGTGCGAGCAATGTGACCGTCATCTGAGGAAGAACCACGCCTCGAACAGTTTCTGCAGGCTGTCTTCTGCGTGATGCATTTAAGAAGAGGGAGAGAGGGACTGACGCTGGGGATGTTGTCGTTGTTGCAGACGCCCTCGGAGAGCAGGCGGTCGCGGATCTCCCAGGCGAAGATGGAGGGGCACTCGCGCTTGTACTCGGCGATCTTGCCCACCACGGGGGGCGTGGCCACCCGGGGCTTGCTACCCCCGATGGCCCGAGGCCGGATGGACCCTGTCTCGTAGTACCTGCACGAAAGAAACAGCCTGCAGCACTGTACGAGGCTGAGGGAAGGGGGGAGATGAGAGGGCGCAAGGACGTCAGAACACGGAGCGCTGGTTGGAATGATTAATAGGCGCAAAGCCAGCTGTCTCTATTTATTGTTCGAACGCGTTCGAACGCCGAACGCCAGCGTCCGGAGTTTGGCGTTCGCTTTCGAGCAGTGCGTTCAAAAATAGCCTCCTATATACTGACAAAGCCTGGCAGATTGCCACGAGAAGCGGCCGCCGAATAGGAAAAGGTGGAGCGGCAGACAATGGATGAGAGGAGAGCCATGTGGCTGGCGCCCAGCTGCGGCAAGTCGCCGAAACACACTTCTCCCGAGCATACAAGTGTGTTTCGGGTCTTCGCCGCTGCAAAAGCTGTGCGCTGACGTCCAGGTTCCCCCGAGAAATGGTTCTTTGATGGATTGTGCTACCAGATCCTCGCGCTCCAAATCTGCGACCGGACACTCTATGGCTCGGACGTCGAGCTGCCATGCTTGGTGAGTATAGAGGAGGCTATGGTTCAGACAAAGGCAACTTTGCGTCTCCCCCCTAATCAATCGAACCACCGCTCCGTGTTCCGACGTACCCGCTCTTTTCTCCTCTCTCAGTTTCTACCCTATATGCCCCAGACCGAAGATCTGTCCCTAGTTCTTTCCACGCTGTTCAAGATCACGATCAGCTGACTGGCGCCCACAGAGGGTGCCGCCTCGGAGCGAAGCGCTACAGGTGGACTTAAACACATATACGAGGGAAGCATAACCGCGGGTTGCGCGCGGGGAGACTTCTGCGTACCTGCCGAGTATCTTGGAGACGCATCCGTTGGAGACCTGCAGGATCCTGGAGATGTCGCAGGGCCTGGCGCCGCTGTGGGCCAGCTCGACGATCTTCTGGCGCGTCGAGTCCGGCAGCGGCCGGCCGTTCACGTACACGCCGCCCAGCTGGTTCACGCCGCTGTGGCCCTTGTGGGGCATGTGGTCCACGCCGGCCGACAGGGCGCCGCGCACCAGCGGCTGCAGCTCCACGCTCGGGCGGGCCAAAGGGGCGGCGCGGGCCTCGGGGACCGCGTCACCCTGCATGCCAGCACACGCCTCTTATGGCAGGGAAGCCATCTTCCTTATGTAGTCCCTTATGTAGTCACTACACCGGAGCCCGAACGCTACTAATACGAGCAGTTTAGTTTGCTTTAAACGTGCGTTTCAAGCTTTGACTTCATGCAGCGTGTGTTGGAAAAAGGAGTGTTCGCCTTTTCATTCGTCAACACGATGGACCTTCCTGGAAAGTAGCGCGCCCTCAAGCGGCGCGTGTGAGGCATTATGGGAAGAGTGAGGGTCGCTGCTCCGACGTCTGCTGTGATGTTTTGAGGGCACCCATAACGAAAATGGCCCACGGGTTACTTGTCGAGTGAAGCGTCGAAATTATTCCCTCTTAAGCTTCTCGTCCTTCGGAAACAGGTGCCATGACAGGTGACGATTTTTCAGGGTGTTATGATCGCACCCTGGCACGTAGCACATCTGTCCACTGCCCCCCCCCCCCCTTTTTTTTTAATGGGCCATCGTTCTGGATGGGCCACCATTCTCTTCTTTTTTTTTGATGGGCCATTGCGCGCGGGCCAAGGGACAAAAAAGCAAAATATCACTCACGCATCCAAATATTTTTTTTTCTTTATTTTTTTTTTCTACGGGAGTCAGTTGAGCTATACTCTGTTACTAGTTGCGTGCAGTGCAGCCAAAGGCAACGTCACGAGAAGAGAAAAATGGCGAGCGCTACGAAGGCGGGGTGGGAGAGGAGGGCAAGGAAGGGCGAGGGGAGAGAAAGAAAAGAACACTAGGCACGTTAGAGAGGAGTTTTCTCTCTTTCTCCCCAGCCCTCCTAGTACTTGCCCCTTCTCCCCTCGCCCGGCGTTGCCTTCGCCTGTACCGCACGCAACCAGCGACAGGGAGTATAGTTGGTAAACTTTATTTTCCTTCGACAATAAAAAAAAAAAGAATCTTTCAGCCTTTACACTCTGCCTGGTGAAGAAGGAAGACCAGCGAAGCTGTACTATGGTGGGAATGATGTAATGGCCGGCAAGCCAGTTGGCAAGCCAGAGTGGAAAGGCTGGAAAGGTTGCACCATCTATGAGCGACGGCGGCAACCAGACAACCGGCAAGCCGATTGTCTGCTTGCCGCCGCCGTTCGTAGATGGCGGTAGCTGTCCAGAATTTCGTGTTATCATTTGTTTGCTGACGGACACGATACCGGGGAAACTAGCCCTTAACAGCTCCGCTCTAAGAGAACGCAGCTCATTTTAGCGACGTTCGAAGACCGTTAGTCCACCTGGATGCATGAAGAGGTTAAGAATGGTGCTGCAGTTCGGCGGTAGCGTGCGCCACCAATAGCATTCAAAAGTTCGACTAGGCTAGACTTGACTTGGCTAAAGGGCGCGACACCCTCACACTTCCCAAAATGCCCCGGAGCGCTCACCGGTGGCGCTGACGTTTCCAAAAATGTCCATTCCCGCGGTAACCGTTAAGTTGTGGTCACACTGCTCGTGTCCGAGTCCCGCCATAGGACGACAAGCAGAAACAAGCGACAGCGACAAGCCCGAAACGCATGCAACACGCACACCAAACTGTTTTTTTTTTTTTTTTTTCAGGCTTGCAAAAATTTATGATAATTAGCGCCGAGGTGTTTCGGTGGCGCCCTCTTATGGTTTCCATCCGTGATGTCACGACTGGGATTTGCCTCGCCGTGACGTCACCAGTTGTTATCCTGGCTACTTACCGTCAGGTACGACGACGAGGTCGGTGCTGTGTTTAAAAAGCACAGTGGAAGCTAGGAGTCATCGCAATCCGAAACTAACACCGTCAAAGTTGACAGTCTGACAAGGCTCATATGCCCATGGTTTGGCCAATCGTGGAAAGCTGACCACAGCGACGCTTTTGGTCGTGCACATCGCTAATACTTAACGAGCACCGAGCCACTGAAAGCCTGCCAAAGGTGTCTTCGAGTGCATGCCCCATGCGCTTCAGGCTTGTCGGTGTCGGTTGTTTCTGTTTGTCGCTCTAGTGGGGCTCGGGGGACATCATACGTCACACAAAAGAAACAATTCTCGCTGCGGACATGATCACAAAATTATCTGGACACGCACGCTCGATGCACATTTGTTTTCCCAACATGTACGCCGGTACGATGCTTATCCAGATCGAAACAGGCAGGGGTGGGGATAGAGCCCAGCATCCTGGGGGTTCTGCAGTGCGAGCTTTCGCTCCACGTGCTCCATGCTGGTGCGCGCTAGCCGACTCAACCACCGACCGATCCCCCCAATTTTACACTAAGTTTAAGAGCACGCTATGTCACCGTGTACGCAAACGCGTACAAAAAGTAAACAAAAAAGGTCGTTCGCTCCATGGCGGCCCAAATGTGACCACGAATTTGACAAACAATGTGGCGCCTGCTGATGGATATTGACGCGATTCCCGATCCCCCGCGCAAAAATCAGAAAAACCATGTCCCGGCCTCTTTTTCTCGCCTTTAAAAAAAAAGAAATTTTGTTAGCCGCATTAAAAAGGGGGAAAAAAAGCACATAGCGCGTTCAACCTGCACCCCCCAAGGGTGGAGAGAAAAAAAATGTCCTTTTTATGACTTCCTTTGTGCGTTCAATTAAACGCTTGGTCGGCGCCCTTCTGTCGGATGAGCGGCGATCTTCCAAAGAGAAAACGATCCGCCTGCGCGCAGTGCACCGCCGACGACGAGGGAAGAAGGGGACGGGCAGACGCCCGCCGCCGGTTCATCAACGTGTGGCCGCTGACAAATGGAGCCACACAGTACGGACGACGGACAATTAGAGGACACCCTCCCGACACGGCTGGCACACACACAAAAAAATGACCACGTTATTGAAATTTGATGAGGCTCGGCCCTTTCTTTGCCTCCCTCACTCTCGCGCATAGATATAGAGGGAGGGGGCGTGCGGACGAGGTTTTATACGCGGCCAAATAATGCCCCTGTGTGTGTGTGTACGCGTGTATGATTGCGCGCATGAATGCGTGTGCTTTTACCTGCCAATTACGCGTTATATGTGTCTGTGTGCACTCACTACATGCGTGTGTATGGGTTACCTGCGTGGACACGCACGAGGATGTCGCGTGTGCATGTGTGTTTGCGCGTACAAGCATGCGTGAGCATGTCCTCATATGTGTACGCACGCTTCTTCGTTCGCATGTGTTCGCGCATGTGCGTCTACTCGTGCGTGCGTATACAATTATACATGCACACATACTGTACGTGTGTATGTGCACGCGCTGCGCGTGTGTCCCTTACGCGGGCACCTGTGCACACAGGAGCGCGTGCAGTGTGCACGCGCGCTGCCCGCACCACCCCGTTCGTCGGCGCTCCAACCGGCCCGTCTGGGCGCGTGCACCAGCACCGCGCGGGCGTCTGCGCGCGGTAGGCGTGGCCGGCACGTCGGCCGGGGCATCTCGCGATGACAAACTGTCCTCGGATGGGATCATCGGCTCCACGCGGGCATAATGACGACATCATCGCGCGCTCGCTAACACCTCGTAAATTACCGACGCAGGACACACGCTCCCTCTGTCTGACAGGTGCGACATGACTCAATGTTTAATTAGGCCGATTATAATAAGAACAAACGCAAAGCAAACCGCTCCGAACCGGCTGCAAAGAATCGATCGTAGTGTTGTGTTCGAAAACATATCGTACGTCTATGCTGGCCCGGGGCAAAGTTAAATAATCGTAACCGCAAATCTCGCAAATTCTCTCCCTCAATTTCTGCCCGTATAGTCCCTGTTCCCGCGCGTCAGAATACAGCCGCCATAAATGATTTTTGCTCGTCTCACCGAAATGCCACTGAAGACGGTATGGACGAGTTCACGCAAAGACAGCGCTGAGGACGAGAACACTATGGGGCCTTAAAGGTCAATGAGCGTCAATGAGTGTGATAACGAAAATGAAATGAAGCGAAAGAAATCAAAGGAAACAAGAAGTGAGGAAAGAGTCAAAGTACAGGCTAGCTGGTGGAAGTCAACCATTTCGTCGTTTACCCTGAGGTAAGGACGAAACGAACTATATAAGAGGAAGTTGTTGAAATAAACGTGTAGCTGAGTTTGAGACCTGTCTGTTTTTTCTGTTACTTCTGCTCTTCAAAAAAAAAACCCAGTCTCAGGGTAAACGACGAAAAAGAAGTGAGGGTTCGTCAAGGCATGCACCCATCCACAGCCAGCGAAAGGCGTCTTTATCGCTCGAGTCTCGTCAGCTGCCAGTCCTTTTGTAACCAACCGAGAACGACTTCGAGCGATTCTGGCGGCGACTGCCTGCGTCTCTTTGACCGATTCAGCAACGTCCGACGCGCGCGAACACTGATCTTGCATGCGGTGGATACATTCGTCCGGCGAACTGCTACAATTCGAAGAGCGACAGCGGTTGGTGTACCCGCGGAACCAGTGAACACGGTGAACTGACGAACCCTGGTTGCTCATCCTGCTTGGCCCAGACTGAACGCGAATAAAATTGATTTGTAACCTGGATGGTAGTTTATCCTGGGAGCACGCGTGGAAATCTCAGGATGACTGCTAAGTTGCGGCCGAAAATCCTGACCTTGGTCATAATGTCCTACCGCGGGCACTGGCGTCCACATGCCAATTCAATTACAGTAATTGACAAACTGTTACTTAATTACTCTGCGGCTAATCTGTAATTGTTTTATAATTACCTTAACTAAGTAACTGTGGTCTTAATTAATTGCCGCTTCAGTAATTGAATTTCTTTTTTTAGTACAATTAAATTTACTCTTATTTTCTCAGGCTGAAGAGTCGTTCCATAGAGTCGTCGACAGACGCCGGACGTTTGCCTCACTTCTTCCAGTGGTGTGGGCTTTTCAAAGTGCCAAGGATTATTACAACAAATATTTAACCACTTTGTACAGAAATGTAATAAAGAATGGTGTGCAGAGATAAACGAAATGTATCCACATTTTTCACCCCTGTATATAGTATCCTGGCCGTATCCTATAAGCAATACAGCCCTTATAGGACTATCTTGCTCGTATGACCCTGACCCCTTCACCTCT